CCCCAAAACCCCAAAACCCCAAAACCCCTTGTTAGATGCAAATTGTTGAAAGTGGCCTTAAGAATCAATACAGGACAACCCAATCATAACGCATATCTTTTTACATGTAAATGGAGTAATCAAGGATCTCCATAAGCATTTGGAGCAGGTAATACCTCAACCCAATCCTTTATCTCTCAAAGAGACCTAATTTACATTGGCTAAAGTTTACAGATGGTTCTCGGTACTGCAGAAATACTAAAGATTTATCCTATACTCAAAATGAACGCAGAAGTTTGGCTGAACTTTAAGAAGTATCAGTTGATTCCAGCCTAGCTGGGAGCCACAAATCAAATGAGGCTCAGGATGAAGAGCTTTCTAACTTTGGAATGCTGTTTATAATAAATATCAATATTTAGGAGCTGTTCTCATATACTTTTAAGCTAGAACATTTGTAACCATATCTATCATCAGGTCTCAACTTGAATTCATGTTTAAATGTTTCGGATGACTTTGAGCTTGAGCCTAAAGAGTTAACGAATGAACATACTGTTGCATAACTTTCCTTCGACTAGGACCTCCACTTCAGCATTACTCTGCTTGGTACTGAAATTCACACTTATTCCTAGTAAATTATTCTTTGAAGTCTGTAAAGCCTTATTTATCTCAAGCCTTCCCTCTAAGATGCTATTGGTAAGATAGTCCAAAGTAGGCTTAAGAGGGAATAGAGGTTCTCCAATTACTTGGACAACTCCTCCTTTGCCTTCATCTGTGAATAAATCGAGTAATCGGGCATCATGAGGGATCTAAACTTTATAAGAAAGAGGTTTACTTTGACTTTATCGTTTTCCATGTCATGGAAACTTTTCTTATTGTTTCATTGAGTCCTAATCTCATTTATATTACTCTTTCTTGCAAACTTTGAATAAAAAGAGCAAATGTACTGCATCACGTCATCCTGAAGATTTCACAGGATTGATGATTTCTCTTCCTTCTTGTAATATTTTGGTTTAGGTTTCCTTGCAAAGCTGCTGACTCTAACTCTTGATTTTGATAAAGATCCTTCTCCCTTTACAGATCTTAAGCCTTTATTTTGCTTCAGATCAAATGCCAGCTTCTTCATACATTTGGAGCTGTCTCTGATAGTCTACAGTAATTATCTACTAGTTACCTCGATCTTCTTTGTCTTCTTGATAGATTTCTTCTTTGTTGAAGTATGGTTATAGCCGTACTTAAAGCCCTTCTTCTGACTTCAATGCCCATATTTTATACCTTTTCTTGGTGAAGGAGAGTAGTACTCATCCTTCTCAATGGTTTTCTTTTGAGTACTCACACCTTTAATGCTCCTAGGCATCTCAGCTTGTCTTTTGTTCTCTTCCTTGGACCGAACATACTTGTAATACTTATATGAAAACTCCTTATTTGCTTTTAGTTTTGGTTGGGATTCTGGCATGGTCTTCATCATTTCCAAGCTCGTCTCATGCACATTCATCTTCTACCTTAATCGCGTTTATAATTTCTCTTTTCTTTTCTCATGTCGAAGAGTTATTAAATCCTGTGTCTCAATTTCTATCTCCTTACTGAGCATCTCGATCCTAAAGGATGAGCTCTCTTTGCTTACTTATGGTTGATCTCTTCATATTGCGGTCTTGTTTTAGAGAAGCCCTTATTCCTTGCTTTTGAAAATGCATTTGGAGGCGTGGTAAAACTCCCTTCTACATAGCTATGATCATGCTCGGAAATTTTCATTCTTTGGCCAGAAACCTCAGATTTCTTCCTAAAAATAGTGAGAATTTGTCTTCACCAAGGTAGAAAATTAATTAGAAATAATTACTTCTTCGATTTCTTCCTGTAATAAGCACTTGAGTGTGATATAGAAGTGCTTTTTCCTCTCTTCTCTGGAGCAGCTCCATATTTGGAGACCTCCTCAGCATCAGATGATGCTTTATACATGCCAGAAGGCTTATAGGCTGATCTCCTGTATTTACTAAAATAAGTTCCTCCAGAAGTTGACTCTCTGTGAACTTTTACCTTTGATCCACTCTGTGACTTGTGACTGACAAAGCTGGACATAAGAAATGTTGATGAACTTTTGGGCATGGTTGGCCCTGTAGTCTCTCCTCTAAGAAAATCTAAACTCTCCATTTTATTTAATTACGAATAAAATTTATTAAACTATATTTCAGCTTCCTTGCCAGTTTTAGGGGTTTTGGGGTTTTGGGGTTTTGGGGTTTTGGGGTTTTGGGG